ACATGTATCAGGTCATTCTATAAATAATTCGGAGTTAACGATCATAGATTTGAAACGAGAATTTCACTTAACAATTTTTGTCCAAGAACTTACCCTCCAACCTCTTCAAGTACATGATTTGTCTTGTTTTTGGCAACATGCCCCTCCCCACATTACATAAAATTAGAAAATTATTTCCATCACAAATTTTCAATCAATCAAACAATCAAATCCAAAGGGGGCAAGAAAAAAAAACCAAAGTTCTTGCTATATATCAATTATGACCATTATTTTGTATCGGGATTGTTAGTGATTTTGACTTTGACTTAGACTTAGGTCAACAAATAAGTTATGATGTCCCACATTGGTTGGAGTGGAGAACAAACCACCATTTATAAGCGTGTGGAAACCTCCCCGTAGCAGACGCGTTTTAAAGCCTTGATGGGAAGCCCAAAGAGGACAATATTTGCTAGCGGTGGGTCTAGGTCATTACAAATGGTTTCAGAGTCAGTTCTGGACGATGTGTCAGCCTTCTCGCTGTTCCCCGAAAGGGGGTAGACACGAGGCGGTATGCCAGTAAAGACGCTGGGCCCCAAAGGGGGGTGGATTTGGGGGCGGTCTCACATTGATTGAAGAAGGAAAGAGTGTCAGCGAGGATGCTGGGTCTCGAAGGGGGATGGATTGTGGTGTCCCACATTGGTTGGGGAGGAAACCAAACCACTATTTATAAGAGTGTGAAAACCTTCCCCTAGCAGACGCGTTTTAAAGTCTTGAGGGGAAGCCCGAAAAGAAAGTCCAAAGAGGATAATATCTGCTAGCGGTTGGTCTAAGTTGTTACAAATGGTATCAGAACTAGACACCGGACGATGTGCCAGCCTTCTCACTATTTTCCGAAAAGGAAAGCCCAAAGAGGACAATATCTACTAGCGGTAGATCTAGGCCGTTACATAAGCGAACTTGTTGTTAGTGTAACGACTCTAAATTTCTACTTACTAGAGTCACTACAGTCGTCTTAAAATACTGTCATGAACTTGCGTGTTTGAAAACATTTTTAAAATGACAACAAAAAACTAAATGAATTAAATAAGCGTTAAAATTAAAAACACCTTAATCTAACCTATGTTTGAGAAAATAAATACAACTACCCTATGCAAGTGTCATGGCATCGAATTGCGATATCATTGTAAGCCATCAAAGATACCTTGCCTTTACTTGAAATAGAAGTTGCGCATGGCTTGAGTATTTAAAATAAATACTCAGTAATACTCAGTAAGTAACCTCAATATTGGGGTCAAGGAATAAAAACACATGCAACTCATGATTTAGGGACCTATCATTTAAAAATTATCATAAGGGTGGCTTCCGGTCCGAACAAAAATTGGATGTCTAGTATTTTCCTACACACGACCCACACGTGCGAGTGTGGATCCCTAAACGGTTCATACCCCTCAGAACCGATCATAGTCGAACTAGTTGTCCGTCTGGAAGTTAGCAGACCCTTGAGTGTCATGCTAGGCATGATCACCATCATCGTCATAGTGTACGCGTCCGTACTCATCATCATAAATGGGGAAGTATCCCGTTGTATATGTACACACAAAATGCATGAGGTTCTCATAGTTTTCATCTTTAAATCATCTTCGTGACACACCCCTATACACCGTTCATATATTACTCTAAGAATCATGTAGGTGTTGGTCTTCATACGCTCATCATCATTAATTTCAATTAGGGTTGTGTCTTTGGACAAATGAATTATCATCGTAATGCATCATGACATTCATTACATGCATGTCAACGTCATGCTAATCAATCTTATCATCATTATTATGTTGTCGTCATCATCATCATCAAATAACGTCATCATAATATCATAATCATCATCATCATATCATCGTAAAACAACATAATCATAATATCATACATCATCGTTGTTATGTCATCGTCATTACATCATCATAATATCATACGTCATTATAATTTAGCCCACACGTCACAAAATATAAAGCATACAACATCATCATCATGTCATCGTCATCACACCATCACCATATAACGTCATTATAATATCATACATCATCATCGTCATGTCATCGTCACCACATCATCATCATATAACGTCATCATAATATCATACATCGTTATTATAATTTAGCCAATACATCACAACAGATAAAGCATAAATGACACATGTCAATACCACTAAGCATGTGTCGTCATACATAAGGCAAGTCTTTCGACTAAGCCGATAGTAAAGTCAATTACATGGTTGGCCTTAGCCGACGTTCTCCTTAAACTCGAGTACATTTGAATTCCATCCCTCAAAGTTGCTCCAAGTATTGTTGGGAGTTGTTTCCTATTAAACCGCTCATCTTGTTTCGTTAGTAATACCAATTTCTTTGCTCAATTTAACTTAAATTGAGAAAACGTACCTTATACCAATCTTAATTGTCTTTATTAAGGTCATATTTAGCCTTGGGAGGGTAAAAAAAATGTAGGAATCGGTATCAAATAGTGTAACTCTAGCCGAATAATCCATTTTTGAGTCGTTCGAGTCATCGAGCCGTTGCCGGAGTCGAGCCGAGCCATTAACGTTGTGTGAGCGGAAGGAGTCGGCGTGTGCATACATGACACGTGTTGATCTCGAGAGGTGATGCATCACGGGTGGCGTTCCGGATCATGAACACCATTGGGTCGTTAGCATGTTTGGGTTGTGTGTACCGATTGGTTTCACGCTTGTGGGATCAAACATGTTGGATAAAAAACATGTTGGATCAAACTTATTTCTAAAAAGAAGTTTTATAAAACTAATAATTTTTTTTCGTAATGATTCTGACATTTTCACGAGACATAGTCACATTAAATACTTCTTGCTTTTTAACACGGAAGATTATCCCCACGGACTAACATGATTTCTTCCAATATATTTTGTCCTTACTCACATGCATCTGAGAAAACTTACTATGAGATCAACAAATATATAATTGCTCCGAAGTAAAACACAGTTAACCATAAGTTATTATGATTGAGCCACCAAAAACAAAGATGCATCTCGTTCCTAAAGTTGGCGACTTTCAATTCTCTTAAAGTCTTTTTTAGTTATCCTATTCTCAAAATTGCTATCATTTTGATGTGGTGTCAAGTCATTTTTTACTCAAGTGTACCGTTCTTTTTACTCGGATGTCTATCACATTTTTTTTGTACCATTTGTTTACTCGGGTATCTGTCACATGCCCACCAACTTCTCCGTTGGTTCATAACAAGAGGCTCAAAAACTTTGATAAAATTACAGTGAATTAATTATTTATGCATCATTTCAAACTTCTAAAGTTTAAATTTTCTTATTAAAAAAAAAAAAACTTCAAAAAGATGTCTAGAGCACAAAGTTCCTTTTCTTCTTTCTTACTTAGTGGCTCGGTTCTAGTTCTGTTTTGGTCCACATTGATATGCATGGAAATTTTTGTGATTTATTTGACTTATACTGGCTCGGTTGTATCGATGATAGAAGTTATGACTGGTTATTCTTGATGATAGAAGTTATGATTGGTTAAAGAAAATCATTTGTCATCGTTGATGATAAAAATTGTTGCTATCGGAAAGAATCTACTTGGAATCTACTTGTTGTCGTTCAATTGAAAAGTTGATCATCGTTTGAGAGAAACTATTTGCGTTCGTTCAAAAATTTATGGTCATCAATGAGAATAATGAGAATTTATAGCTGTCAACGAAAGAGGGCGCCACCATCAATGTAAGATGAATGTAAGATGAAAATGATAGAAATAAATTTATAATAATTATAAATAAACAAAAGAGGTAAATACTTATGGTTCAAAAATATGAGTTTCAAATGTGAACTCGAATACCATGTCTAATCATTTCTATATTATTTCATTTTACTATTAATATACTAAAATGAACCACCAAAAAGTTAAAAATTCGAATTCTGACTTATTAGGGTTAAAGTAATGAAACCAAAATAGTGAATCGAAGACTCAAAGAAAGGAATATGTAATTGATTGTAAGTAAATACAAAGTCCACACTAGATGTAATATTGTATTAATGTCTAATGGGAACATTGATGTGAGATCAATAACGAAACATTTTTTATAAGGGTGTAGAAACCTCTCCCTAACAAATGCGTTTTATTCGAAAAATTTAAAGAGGACAATATCTACTAGAGTGAGATTGAACTGTTATAGTTAGTCACAAATGCATTTTACTCGAAAGAAGAATCCAAAATCCAAAGAGGACAATATCTACTAGCAATGAGATTGAACCATTACAATTGGTCAAAGCTAGACACCAACAATGTGCCAGGAAAGAGACTGAGTCCTAAAGGGAGTAGACACGAGACGGTGTGTAACAGTGTGTCAACAAGGACGTTAGCCCTAAAATGGATGGATTGAAGATCCGCATCGATTGGAGATGGGAACAAGTGATAGTAAAGACGCTAAGCCTTAAAGAGGGTAGATTATATGATCATCGATTGAAGAAAAGAACGAGTAACAACGAAGACACTAGACTCCTAAGGGTAGATAATGAAATCCCACATCAATTCAAGAAGAGAACCAATTCAAGAAGAGAACGAAACATTTTTTTTTTTTTTGTGGAAACTTCTCCTTAACAAAAAAAAGTAGTAAAAACCCATCCAAAATGAAAAATTCAAAGACAACAATATCAATATCGAGTTTGTTTGACCTTTCATTTGACCTTTACTTTATTTAGCACAATTAATTCTTTATATTAGCAGTCGTGCATAAAGTGTGTGTAAGTAGCTTGAACTCTGCCTAATTCAATGATAATTTACCACCAAAACTAGTAGTGCAAAGCATGTGGCTTGAGCTATAAATTATTTTATATTCATCAGTGCCCAAATGAATTTGTGTGCACCTAAACTATTGACAACAACTTAAGCTAGCCCTTGGACATTAACTTGATCAGCACTACAATCCATACTCCAACAAAAAGGCAATAATATCGTTCGGAAAGAACAAGGAAAAGGAGGCAGAGAAGAATATGGTGCTGAATGAAAAACACTAACTTAAATCTTCAAAATCAATAAACATTGTTGTAGTCTAAGTTCAACAATCAACTGAAGATTCCAGAAAAAAGAAAAAAAAAAACTAACTAGAGACAGAATCGAAATTCAAGGTTCCTTCTTATATATATATATGAAAAAGCTGCAACCATATTCCCTCCATCGACCCTTAATGGAACTGAGAAAACTAGGCCATTTAGCGGTACTGCAAGAACAGTTGAGGTTCAACAGATCAAGACATTGAAAAACTTTAGGATGTATAGCTCAAAATATAACCAATATGATCAAATAGTCATGAACTCAGAAAACCTTACCTTGATGAACCCAATTTCCTTGGCGTTGCTGCGGAAGCATTGTCTGCAGCACATAAGCCCGTACTTTCTGATCAACCCATGAGGGTTTCCGCAAACCCGGCTTCAATAAAGATCAGACATATACAAAAAATTTAATTCAAACAGAAAAAGACCTTCATATCATATTACTGGATAAATGTTAACAACCAAAAGCATCTATATATATATATATATATATATATATATATATATGCAAAAATCATTATACACAAAAATGGAAGTATATACAGCATCTCACGAATTCTTTCATTCACCAAAGTTCACCCAACAGCCACAAATGCTACTAGTGACTAATTACTAAGGACTCCCAATGTTTCATCGGCATTAAAGCTATGATCCTAATCCCATAACAAATTAGACGAAAGATAATAAGAACATTGGCTTAATCGGGGATTCATAGGGAAATTCACCAATGTGCTAATATCCAAAGAAAACGAGGATTTCATACCTAATAAATTTAGACAAACTAGACAAATAAATGGAGATACATACGGGAACTATTTTTCTATTACTTCACTTAATTGCTCATCATAGCCAATAGAACACAATATTTTCAGTACGAAAATATAGAGATTCGGATACCCAAATCAACAGAAGACTGAATCTTTTGCAGAATGTGAACTTATCGGGAGAAAAAATATTGATAAAGATAACTTCAACAGATGGATAGAAGAAAATCAACACAATCAACCGTTACGCTTGCTTCCATTTATCAAAGAAACATAAAATCATTAATTTATGAACTATGTCAAGAACAAAAATCAAAACCAATCACATAATTTTGCCTACTAGTCAAAATACCACGTCAAATTAACAAGACTCCCGACTTTACACTCTAATCTAAATAAATAACCATGATGTTAAAGAAAAATAAGAGATCTCCAATCACAGGATAGAAAATTTGATTATACCACACCGGAATCATCTCAAATGCGAAACAGAGGGAAAAAAAAAAAAAAAAAAAAAAAAAAAA